CTATCTAACTCCATTAAGTTCCTATTCATTGATTCTTAATACATGATGTGATAAGATTGCATTTGAATGTTTTGAAGGATCGGTGAAAAGAAAGGAAGCTTGATAAGAGAGCAAGATGAATCTAATCACAAGAGATGGATCTCGATCTCATGGACTTGAAGATTGGATTTTGAGCTTAGATAGTTATGATAGAGTTGTTAGAAATTTTCTTTTTTACATAGTTTTCAATAGATTTTGCATTGTAAGGACAAATGTTTTTCCGCTGCTTTTATAAATAAAATAAATTTTGTTTGACTTATTTATTTTGTTTATTTCCTTGCAATGAAATCGTTATGAAAATTGATGTTTGCATATTTCTACAACGAATGGATATGATTCTTAGTTATGTTATTTATGGAAATGTCAAGAATTTACCAAATAGGGAGAGTTTCTCATCGCCCAAGTTTCAATTGGACAGAAACTTGGAATCATGCAACTTGGTTGCATGATGAATGAGAAATTTCGTATTTGGAAATTGGACTAATTCATTGACAAAGTGTCAAGTGAAGGATTAGGAGATCGAGTACACAAAGTTATGTGTTGATCAAGTTCACCATAAGAGTAACAAAGATATTCGTCATGATTTACTAAAGGCTTAGTAAATATGATTACACTTACAAGATTAAGTGTAATTTTGAATTGATTAAAGGGTTTAGATCAATAGCAAAACGAATAAGAAGAATCAAGTAGGCAGAAAGATAAGAGTTTCTCCATTCTAAGAAGAAGGGAGAGTAGCTTTTATGCTTTATGATAGGTCTTAATGATTAAGAACCATATCTCAATTGATCCTCTAATGAGTCTTGGTACAATTATATGTCCAAGAAGAGGAATCAAAGATTGAAGAAATGGTCAAATCAAGAAGTCAATCATACTTCATTCCAAAACAAGTCTTAAAGTCAAGATTGTGACATTGAGTGAATAGTATTAAGAAGGTTTATAACATTCATCAATCGTGGAAAGTTTTTGATGTCTTGGATAAGACAAAGACCAACTAAGACCATTTTATGAAGTGTTTTGATAAAAGCTACACTAACTCTTGAATATTTGGTTGTCAACAAATGTTTATTGACAAGAGAATCTTATATGTCAAGGAGTCAGTGGGAGTCTTAATGGTCTTGAAAGGTTTCAAGAACAAATCAAATAAACCTTATTGATCATCACTAGCACACGAGTTGAGGTTTACAACCTATCGTGAAGACATTATTTTGTTTCTGTGCAAATCCAATCGAGTTAATTATGCATGTGAGTCCTATGAGTTCTCATTTGAATGCATAAAAGGCAAGGACCTTGATCAATGGAAAGTACATTGATAGGAAAAGGAGAGCTGCTTAACTACTTGGAAGACGTGGTGGGCAGCTGTGCTACCATAAGGCAAGAAATCAAGATTAAGGAGTTCGATCCATATGAGTTTGAATTTGTCGTAAACTTTAGTTTTAACAAATTCACATGGATAGGAATACATACACCGTTTAAATCTAAGTGTCATAAGATTTCCTCCTTCATGAAAATGATTGTGAGGAAATGCTTTCACTAAGAAAGATTTTAAAAGATAGTGATTGTAAAATTGCATTCTCGAATTCAATCATGGTTACGGCATCCCTTTCCATAATTTGAATTGTGAGGTTTGGCAATTAGTCTTAATTGTTTAGACACACATATGAACTATCAAAGGCAAAGGTGTATAAGTTCAAGAAGCTTGATAAAAGATTATCAAAGCACTAAGTATTAGAAACATGAACTTAAGAAATTCAATAAGTATTGTTTTTCTGAAAGTTAAGAAGTTTATGAATACATGTCGAAGCTAGTGGGAGCATAAGTGTTATGTTTTATAATAATCATCATGATAGTGGGAGCATAAATGTTATGATTGTATGATTATTAAGGCAAGTATTGCATAGTTGGCAATATTAATTATAGAAAACAAGAGTCATACTTTGCAAAGTTGTAAGAGTTGAAAGGTTGTTTTGCTATAATTAAGGGAGAGAATATTATGCTTCATTTCAAATCTAAAGGATTAGGTTGTGAAATGTTGATAAATTTAGTCAAAGGTACATAGTGTGTTCTTAAAGTTTCGATTATGATTACGGCATTCCTCTTCACAATTCGAATTTTGAGAACATAGAAAATAAAACATTGTGCGTCGTGTCCCATACGCTTCGAGTATAGGATCGATTGCAAATGATTTAATGTTTGACCATTCTAAAATTTTCCAAATGTCTAGTGCATTTAGAGGGAAAAGGGACTAGAATTGGTTTTGACTAAAATAATTAAACAACTATCAAAGGACAATCCAAAGTTCGACGAGGATTGGTCGCTTGTGAGTAGTTGGAAGTATAGTATTGAAATTATGGAAATGTTTCCATATTGGATGGACAATATCGACATCATTACGAATAGATAAGATTCTATTAAGAAATTAGTTGTCATATGGAAAATATGGAAGCGTGTCCATATTGGGAAGTAAATATTGAAAATCTATGTCTAGATTAGAAACTTTTATGCAAAAGGATGTTCAAAGGAATGTACTTTGAGTGAGAGACATCATATCTAAGGAATTGTCTTGTAACAATCTCCGATAGAGGAATTTGTAATATCATTGGCAATAGTCTTTGAGACTTTGGTGCAGTGACATTACAAAAGGATCGTTGCATAAAGTGTTAGAATCTAGTATATTCTATAAGTAACAAGAATTTGATATTCTTACACTTAAGAAAATGGATTTGGAGTTGTAAAATGAGAATGATTGGAAATGTGTTCAATTTGTCTATTTCAAAAAGTAAGAACCATAGGTAAACATTGTGTGCATGCTAGGAGCATGGGACAAGTGTAATAATTCAAGTAAGAAGTTGATTACCCGAAACGACAAATAATGAGTAATCGATATGGTGATAAATAAAACGTGTTTTGTTTATACTCAAAGGTTTGAGGCCATATGGGATTAGTATTATTCTTGTGTTTCACCTTGCATGTTTTGACTTCCAGAATAATTGAGTTTATTAAGAATAATCGAATTATTCGAACGGGCCACAGTCGTTCATATGTTGGAAGTAGATATGAATGAAGACTGTCATGAATTGGTGTGTGGATTGTCTAGAAAAGTATTAGACATAAGCAAATGTTTGCTGCAACGTTCATGAGTGCTTATGAATATGATTTGAGCATTGGATTAAACCCACGCTCACTTGGATCACTATCTCGAGTGATTAGTGAGACGATAACATCTTATATTCTTGAAACCGAGATGTGTGAGTTGTATCTTGCTAATCGGTTGCACATTGATAATATGTAAACGCACTAGTAACTTGGTGTTATAAAACATATTGTTGTGTGTGATTTGGTTAGTGAGTGCAAGCGAGCATTGTATCAAAGTTTATCCGTTCCTTTTATCCAAGGTAGGATAAAAGCGATATCTTTGGGCCCTCGATGGTTTAGTGATGACATACGTAAATGCTCGGCCGGGCTAGGGCTAATTTGATTTGTTCAATTAGTCTGTCGTCATAAATCAGAAATCGAGAAGTAGTACAAAGAAAATGATTAGAAATCATATCTCAGATGATATCAAGAATGGAGGAATATATGATCCCTTATCTAAGGACAAGCGTATCTGATAGGATCAAAGTTGACAGCGGCTTTGGAAAGCTACGATTGCAGATCGGGATCTGAAGTCATACGCAGAATAGTTGTTAGACTTATCCAAGTGGGAGACTGTTGGATTAGTGTCTAAGTCCATAACTATTTTGGTATGTACTTGACCCGATGGTGCATGGTCCTTTTGGGTTGCCTTCACCAAAGCAACTTGATAGGATGAATTATGGAGAGTAAGGATTAAATATGATTTATTAATATATTATGGGAATAATATATTAAAGGAGAAATCATATTGTTTAATTAATATTAGTCAATAATTAATTGGTAATTAGTTTTGTGACTAAAAGAAATTAATTAAACTTAAGGGACTGGTATTGTAATTATAAGATAATTGCAATTTGGGCCATGGATTGCCTTGTATTAAGGGATGGATGAATTCTAATGGGAAACCCATAAGGAAATCGTCCATGGGCTTAATAAAAGGAGTCTATGGGTTGCTTAGGGCTTAAGCATCCAAATTAGGGTTTCCTTATTAGATAACCCTAATAGCCCAACTATATAAAGACCCCTATGGCTCAAAAACGTGGCTAATGTTCTTGTAAGGGTTTACACACGTTTTTGGCAGCCTCCAACCTCTCTCCTCTTCATCCTCTTGCTTATGGTGTTTGTGAACCATTAGAGGAGTGACACTTGTGACTGTAAGCATTCCAAAGTCAATACAAGGGGAATCGGGATTGTTATTGCTATATAACAATCAAGGTAATACGATAAACTTATTCTCATGTTAATATGATTATATGTATGCTAGAATTAGGGTTTATAGTCTTGGATTCAAAGCATGTACAATAGAGAAACCTAGATCCAAGCTTTAGGGTTTGAATGAGCACATAGGATGTCTTATGACCAAAAACCCATCACTTTTGGGATTAACGCGCTGGCGTTAATTACTTCTTTTGAAAGATGTTTATGTATTTATCTTTTGAATATGTAATGAATACAATTATGTAAACATCTTGGAAACTTTAATATATATGGTGGTGTGTACTTTCCTTTCTATGAACTGTTATGATACTGAATATGATGTCCTCCGCCCCCGAACGTTTCCGCCGTTCTGGTTTGGGGGTGTGACATCGCCTTTAGTAATCAAACTAATTACATTCTTCTATTTGGAGTTGAATGGACTTGAGCTTTAAATATATTAAATTACATTTATAGGGGCGTTTTAGGTATCAACCAGGTCAGGTTAGAGCTTTTGGTAATCAAACTAATTACATTCTTCTATTCGGAGGTGAATGGACTTGAGCTTTAAATATTTTAAATTGCATTTATAGGGGCGTTTTAGGTATCAACCAGGTCAAGTTAGAGCCTTTGGAATGATAGCTGGTGGATCTAGCATCACTTCGATGTTTCAGGTGTTTATTTATTTATTTTAAACCTTATCAAGTCCTTTTTTAAAAAATAAAATAACATAAGATGGTAATTTATATTCTGTGTTAGGTTGTTAGGGCTGTTCTTGAAAACCCTTCAGACAAGACAAAGGTGCATCTCATCTATGCTAATGTCATGGGGAAAGTTGGACCTGGTAGCCATCCATCTGCGATTGAAACTGGGATGAAGTTTTACATATCAAACCTTGATTATAGTGTCTCGAATGACGATATTAAGGTGATTGATACTTTCTTTTTACCTCTTATAGCTAACTTTGGCTAGATCTGGATACCGTACTCCAACGTTTGGATTAACCATAAAAAATCAGACTTAGAATATTTCAAAAAATCAAACTGATTTGGTTGTTTCTTCTTTATTGACGATCTAATAAACGTGAAATTGAAATCCTTGTACTTCTAAGTTTGGTACTTGGTAGAAGGCAAAGTTAGTATAAATTACAATACGTCATAAAGATTCTTTGAAGATGTGTAAATCTATTTCCAAATTCTTTTACTCGTATGCAAGGGCATAAATTAAATGGTACATAGCCAATCTAAGTTATAGTAGAGATTAATGGTTTCTTGTAGTCAGGAAAACGCTAATAGTAACAAGAAAATAGTTAAGTGTAGCTGTTGTATCTAAAAACTGTTTTGGTCGATTTGTGGATGAGATTGTATTTTGTGCACAATATACTTTTTATTTCTTTACTGGTAAATCATAGAATTTCTTGGGTGAAATCTCACATGGATGAAACCACTTCAATCTGTGTAGGAGCTTTTTGCAGAAGCTGGTGACCTGAAAAAGTATTCTATACATTATGATAGAAGTGGGAGATCAAAGGTAATTTTCAAGGTTTTAGTACCTTTTGTAAAGTTTCATGTTTTTGATTTTGTTGTAACTAAATTTTCTTTCAGGGGATGGCTATGATATTGTATTCAAGAAGGCAAGATGCATTAGCGGCTGTCAAAAGGTATAACAATGTCCAACTTGATGGGAAGCCAATGAATATAGAGATTGTGGGATTAAACATTATGGGGCCTGTTGCTGGTTTTTCATTTCCAAACAACTCTTTTGGAAACATGAATGGTTTTCCAAGAAGGTATGGTTCTTTCTTGTAATTTGAATCTTTGGTTGCATTTAGTTGCGAATCTTGAATCTTTGTTTGCATTTGGTTGATTTCTTCCTTTTTTTTATTGAAGACAAAGATACCCACACAAGATATATTAAATAAATATAATGAAAACTTCAAGTACATATAATAATAATGAACAAAATATATTTAAATATAAATAAAAATATTAATCTATTACAATTTGTCTCTCCAACTCGGTCTGTTCATATTTACTCAGAGAAGGTCGTTCATCTCCCTCATTGCTACTTTGTGAATGATTACAAGAACGTAAAGGTGTAAATGTAGTTTGATTAATCTGTTATTATTATAATTGAGTAGATTTTTCATACTACATACTCTTCTAAATTCTAATTTGTTAGATTTTTTAAAGTGATGTCAGCTCTTTTTAATAATCATTTTTTTAATGGTTGGGTGCAGAAAAACCTTGATGTGGTGGATGTAAACCGCCAACCCAGGCGTTCAGCTTACGGATTGCCTGAAAACAAGTTCATATTTGCTTGTTTTAATCAGCTTTACAAGATGGATCCTCAAATTTTTATCACTTGGTAACATTAAAGATATAATCTCAATTTATGTTACTCTTGTAAGTAACATTTAACATAATGTTTGTTTCAGGTGCAATATTTTAAAGTGTGTTCCCAATAGTGCCCTTTGGCTTCTCAGGTTCCCAGCTGCTGGTGAAATGAGACTTCGTGCCTGTATGTCATTTTTAATCCTCTTATTATATAAAACTATACCCATTTATAACCTTGTACTTTTAATTAAGACATTATAGTTTGAATATTGTAATAAGAAGAAATAAAAGTAGGTTGATTTTTCTTACATGTTTTGGGTATTGTGTAGATGCTGTTGCACAGGGTGCGCAACCAGACCATAGTATTTTCACTGATGTTGCTATGAAAAACCAACACATCAGACGCAGTTCTTTGGCATATCTTTGCCTTGATACGTAAACCCCTTCCCCCTCTTTTTTTTAAAAAAAATTATATAATAGTTAAGTCCTTATAGTTTTGTGATTATGTCAAAACATGCCCTTACTGATGGTCTTTCTAAGGTATTTCTTAAACACTAATATATAACTTGCAATGGTTCCTTTACGAAAGGGTAAAATAGTCAAAGCAGTAGCCAGTCCTATCACACCACCATTACCAACAGACAGTGCAGAAAGAAGACAATAATTATGCGAAATTACGGTTTTAGAAAAAATGGAGAACCACTTTCAGATAATATGACTTTGAAGACATCATCAATACTCTTCCCAAGACCGTATTACACTCTTACTTATTAATTTTTATCCTTTTTTATTTGAACATATTCATATTTAATACTTTTTTTTTCTCAAAAGGTATTAGAAATTCATAACATGAAAGCATGGAAATCTGTTTTCATATTTGCCACTTCATATGCATTGGGGCTTTTCATGATTGCCAAATCCCCATGGTATTTTCTTCCATTAGCTTGGGCATGGACAGAAACTACAGTTACAGGGGTAAAATCATAAATAAAGTTACTTTGTTTTTTTCTCTTCATTAATTAATCCTTCAAATACATATTTTTAATATTTTTTTGTTGTATTTGTGCTTTCAAGGTCTTTTAGTTGTTTTTCTAGACGAAATGAAGAAGATATAGAGAGATTGGTGCTGATTTGATGCAATTCAAATATGATTAGGCCGTTCAGATATTTTTTTTGGACAGACTTGCCCCTGTTGCTGGTGGGTTTACCAAAATACCCTCCATACAATAGTTTTATAAGTGCTTTAAGTCCCTAGTACAATCTACTGCATGTAGATGGACAAATTACCCTTGTTGCTGGTGGGTTACCCAAAAGAAACTGCTTTGCATGATCCACATGTAGATGGACAAATTTTGGTATGCTATCTTAAATATTTGAAGTTGCTTTCCAGTGCAACTAAAAGTTAAAAAAATTATGTTCACATGTCTTTCTTACAATTTAACATATAGTCTTTTATGAAGTTTTTATAATATTTAACATTCCTATTAGGTTAGTTTAATTTTACTCCATCAATGATTACTACAATACTAAATTTAATATCTCTAATACCATGTTATTCAAGTATTCTTTGAGTATGTGGCATATATGTGTTATGAATACATATTCAAACTGGACAAGGTTACATACAACAAATCTCATCCATACACATCATGGATACCTACAACTTGGATACTAAAACCATGGTTTTGTTTCTCAAGATGCAAAAGAGCATCTTGCTGCACTAGCTGACAAGCTTGGTTCTTCACTAACAGATATCCATGAAAGAGAGAGTTTTGCATATGGAGCTTGTGGTCAGGTATGCTCTACAAATGTTATGTCGTTTTCGTTTTTAACATAAAATACAAAGGTCAAGTATGATCTACATATGTTGTGATGTGATGAATTTATGGTTTGATTCATCAGTTTGGTCACATGAAAACCAACAAACACTGCCCTGAGTACAGAGAAAATTCCAACATCAAAACACTTTTAAAAAAAAATAAAAAAGTACATAAATTTGATAGTGTGTGTTGCTTCATATAGTAACCAATTCCTTCAGGAAGCCAAAGAACAAATATCGGTTACTCCAGAGACTCAAATCAGATGTGTCGCCAAGAACCTCGTGTTCTTTTGTCTGACTACCCATGTGTCCCATTGGAAGAAGCTCAAGGTTCTTTATTTCTCTTACACTGTAATAATCCATCTTAACACTTATTTTGTAGTTATGTTTTTTTGCAGACAATATAGATACTGTGAGCAAGTTCGTAGGTTTAGAGTCCTTAAGTGGTGTTATTACGGACGAGTGGAGACAAGTGAGTCACACATTTAAAAAAGTCAGCACAAATCTTGTTTACAGTGAGGCACACATTAGGTTATTAGAACTATTAGTTTGTAAATTTCTGTTACAACTTCTATTTATTTGTTTTATTTTTCTATATATGGAACGATTATTTGTATGACATTAAATTTTATGTAATGGATTGTATTTTTTGCATATGATATTTTATTTTCAATTATGAGACATTAAATATAAATTTAATTTGAAAATTAGTATATCTATAAATAATATTTTTTTAAACATTTGAAATTATGATACGCAAAAATGTGTGTCATCTTCATTTATGAAATGGCCTTTCTTGACAAGGGTTTTCTTGATACGCATTGCGTGTCATTAACAGGCGTGTCGTAAGGTTACGACACGCAAATGCGTGTCGTCTTCTATATGACAGGGCCTTCCTTGATACGCATTGCATGTCGTAAACGCGCATCGTAAATCAGCGTCGTAAATGCACGTCGTCTATAGATGACGCGCAAAAGCGTGTCATCTCTCTTCATAACAGGGCCTTCCTTGACGCGCATTTGCGCGTCGTCTGAGCCTTTTACGACACGCAATGAGCATCGTAAAAGGTTGTTTTTTCTAGTAGTGACATTTGAGTTCCTATTACCTACGTTTGAAGAAGTAGTAGCATGGGAGGGTGGTAGGGTGTGTGTCTCAGTGTTGAGAGTGTACTTTTTGAAGAAGTAGTAGCATGGGAGGTGGCAGGGTGTGTGTCTCAGTGTTGAGACTGTACTTCGTTAACTGAAGAGAGTGCCTTAACAAGGTAACTGGTTGCAAAGGGGGATGTAACCAGTTGGTAAAAGGGAATCTGGTGAAAATCATTAAAATGAAATATGATGGGCAAATGTGAGGCATCTGTGACAAACAAATATATATATATATATATATATATATATATATATATATATATATATATATATATATATATATATATATATATATATATATATATATATATATATATTGGGTATAACCGGTTTTTTTTATGTAAATTTGAATGCTTTTATGATAACAACCCTACAAAAAATTATTCAACTGCCAACCATTTGATACAGATAAATCATACTAGATATATTATTTACTTTAAAATTTTACTAATTATAAGATTCAAGTTAAAAAGTTCTTAAGTGGTTGTCATTAATCAGTAGAAAGACGAATGTTGTGGAGTATTCAAATAAATATGATGTATTTTGCTCAAACTCTCTTATAAAAATTATAATGATTTCATGAATAGTAACACATTTTGGTTTAACAAGTAACAACTATATATCCATGAAGCTTAAAACATCATAAGCATTAGTCGTCTGGAACTAGAGCATCTTTGGTGCAAACCGTTTCTAGACATAAGATCATAAAAACGAGAAAGCAAAAAAAAAAAAAATGATCTGACACTCAAAATATAATTAAAAGAAACGACCGTCATTTTGAATATATCCATTGTGGAAAGATGGAGCATTTTGAAGATAACTTTTTTATTTAGCTTTATGGTGGAATTCTTTTGTGCAAATTATCATTCAAAAGCACGTCATTAATTAAATACTTTGATGACAAAGATGGTACTTTATTGATCGCTTACATGAAAAGGTATCTTCGAATTAAAAAATAAAGACATTAAATAAATATAACAAAACAATAAAGAAAAGCAAGTTGATTATCAAATTATAAGATCAGGATGTTTGTCATATAACCAACATCGCGAAGAATTAATATTAATTGTATATATGCTACCATAAACAAATATATAATTTATAAAAACGTTGAAGTCAACAAATTGAATATGTTTTAAATATTATATTCATAAGAAAATTTTAAAGGAAAAAAGTTATATCACGATGTAACTTAATATAAGGTCTATATATGTTTGACAACTTATATGATTTTTTTTTTCGTTCTCTTTTGAAGGGCAAAATTTTATTATGAGAGGACAAGCAAGAATTTAGCAAAACCAATAAAATACATCAAAAAATAGCAAGTTTTGGGTCTAGCAGCCATCCAACCCAATTTAGATATTTCTTAGTTTTAGTATAATACCATCAAAAACGTTGAGTAGCATTTTTATAAAAAAGATATATCATTCTCTAATGATGAACAACAAAACAACCAAGTATTTATGAAAATCCAAATATACCTCAATATCGAATAAAAGACCCACTCCAAATAATATTAAGGGATAATGATTTGATAGGGTAAGATATTTTTTTAAATGTATACATTTAATCTTTATTCTGTTTTTTTTTTTTTTTTTTTTTTTTTTTTTTAAAAATAAACCCTTATACATTAATAATATGTACACATTAGGTCCTTTTCACCGGATTCTATAGGTTTTGCTAACATGAAGGGTTTATTTTATAAAAAAAATAAAATAAAGACTAAATGTGTACATTTCAAAAAGTATCTTACCCTATCAAGTCATTTTCACTTTCTTTTATTTTGTTGAAATGAAATATCCGGGTGGCATCCTAATATCCACAACGAGATTTTTCCAACTTTTATTCATCATGAAAAAGAGGGAGAACCCCGATCTCCGGCGACTCCCTTTTATGTGTTCCTACATATCACTGGTAGCAAGGAGGAATGATGACAAAAACAACAAGGTCGAAGGGGGAGGCAGGAGGATGTAGAGACGGTAGTTGGCGGCGAGGAGCTGCTCTAGTAGCTCCTTCGTCGATTCTTTCTTCTTTTTCTGGCAACATATCTCAAACATGGAGGCAAAGAGAGACAAATCGGAGAAACACAACAGGTAAATGGTGTTTGGTTGTTGCTGTTCGACCGGAAGGAAGAGAGACGAGAAAGAAAAGGGTCGTCGCCCTTTTCTTGTTGCTGGAGGATCACCCACCTCCGGTGACTAAGCTAATTAATTGCTATTTAGTGCTATTTGTGTTTCCACATCAGCAAAACCTGTAGAATTCGGTGAAAATTACCTAATGTGTAGATATTAATAAAGTATAAGGGTTTATTTTACAAAAAAAGAATAAGGACTAAACGTGTACAATTCAAAAAGTATCTTACCCTATCAAGTTATTTTCCATAAAAAAAAATTCGTATATGACCGGTATACCGGATATAGCCGGTCACAAGGATTGTATTGTTACAAAAAATAAAGTATAAGGGTTTATTTTACA